GTGGGGGAGGCATTTATGTACATACTTCCCACTTCCTATGTTTTTGCATATTTAACACCCAAACTTCACTTTTTTGCATCAATACCATCTAATTCTTTCATATGACATCAAAACTACTATTTTTGTACTTTTAGAAAGTGAAATACTCCTTTTCATGCATAGGTAAGGTGGCAAGTTTGTAAACCTTCAAGTTTCTGTGTTAGATATGTAAATACATAGGAATTGAGTGGTATGTATGTAAATCTTCCTCTCTTTTTTGCACTTTTTGTTTTGGTAAAATAAATAACACAATATCCATCTAGATTTGTATTTTGTATGTTGGTTGGCATTCGGGTTTATGTGCACGTAATAATTTGAGTGCTACAGATTGAAATTAGAGCAGTTGCCAATTTAGAAAATTGTCATCCAGACAGTTTGGAACACCTTGTTTGATGTGTCACAAGGCGTCTCATTTTTTAAATTTATTAAAAAAATTGAACCTTAGGAGTCCCTCTTGGATAATTATCGAGAATTTATGTTGGAGACATTTTATATAAGTTGTGTTATTCTAACCCAATTTTATACCCATTGATTTTCTCTTAGATTTTCTTTTCATTCTTTCTCTTTACACTATTTATATTATTCTCAATTTTCTTACTCTTTATCATTTGATTATAGCAATAATCTTTTTATTCCTTTTATTTTTCACATTTAATTTAGATGTTTGTTATAGTTATGAAAGATTTGAACTTTTAATAATTATAAATAAGTCCCTAGATTTTCACTTTGGTTTGTGCTACTTGTTAATCTCTTTCTTGTTTTTCTTTTATTCTTATAACAATTATATTTGTGGTTGAACTATTTGGATGCTTGCATTTGAAGCACTGCAAGAGAGAGAGAGAGAGAGAGAGAGAGAGAGAGAGAGAGATGAGCGAGAGAGAGAGAGCACTCGATCGGTTTGGATGGATCTGTTTTCAAATTGGTTAACCAATGGCAACTTAGAAAACCAAACCAATTTAAATTTTCATAAAAAAACTAAACGATCAAACCAATATTTAATTCGAACAAACTGAAATCTAAGTGTTAGTTGGATTTCGGTTTTGAATAAACATAAAAAAAAATACATCTTATATGTATAATATCAATTTAATTTGATGAGTCATCCCTTTGATTTTGAATTTTTAGTTTTTCGGTTTGTTCGGTTAAATAAAAATTAAAACTGAACAAATAACCAAAAACTGAATAATGATGTTTTAGAAAGTAAAAAATTGAAATATATTTTTGAAACCAAATTGAGTCAACCAAATTTGTGCGCAATTGGGCCTTGACCAAATAATGCACACTCCTAGAGAGGA